TACAGAGACAGGAAGATTAGTGGTTGCCAGGGACTGGGGAGTTTGGAGCACGATGGCCCCTAGGAATGGGGCTTCTTTTTGGGGTGATGACAACATTCTGGGATTAGGTAGTGGCGATAGTTGCACAATTCTGTGAATAGCCTAAAAATTGTTGAATTATATGCTCCAGATAGGTGAATTGTATGGTATGAGTATTACATCTCAATAAGGCTGTTATAGTTAAGAAAAGAAAAGATAAAGGAAGACAACGTCTGGTGGCCTGCCCTGCCCTGCAGTGCCCCGCACCGCACCTTGTCTACCTCACAGGTGGCTTTGAATTGACACAGTCTAGGGGAGATGGTTAAGGTGATGAAGAGGTCAGAGGGCAGCCCTGAAGCTGTGGTCATGAAGGTGACATCACCGGCCTGGACAGGTGGAGGCTCAGAGGGTCAGGACTGGTTCTCAAGTTTGCAGAATGATCTCAGACAGGCCTGTAGGGGCTCCTAGGAGACCCTGGGCTGGGGAGGAGCTCTGCAAAAGGTTTCTCATGCTCCTATGTCATCTATGAATAGCTGAGGAAGGAGCTGGTGGGCCCAGAGCTCTCTGGTGACTCCCTAGGCAGAAGCCAAGGAGGCCAACCTTCCCCACAGAGAAGGTAAGCCAGGAAGACTGCCGTGTGCTCCCACTTCCCAGGTAGAAAGGTGTCAGGGTATAAGAAGTGGCCAAAAGGGGCTGCCGGGCTAAGATGGGGTGATCACTGCCATGGGGGTGGGGGCCTGACAGGCCCTCAGGCGAAACTGCTCCCTGCCTGGCCCCAAGCTGAGGGGAGAAGGGAAGGGTGGGGGTTCTGGAAAGGGGCTCAAATGGGGATTGCTGGAGAGGAGAGGGTGGGCTGGGTGCTGGGAAGCCCTCAGTCATTTCTTCCTCCCAGAGTGCCCCAGGGTCCTAGTTTGTCAGTATGAAGTGGGTGGGGTGTCCCCAGGGCTGCCCAGGGATGTATGTCCCTGGCCATCCGCTCACCGGTCCTGGAGCCGGTCCTGTGTGTCCTTCAGCCGGGCCTTCAAGTGACGGATGCACACCTCCTTCTGCTGCAGTGGGGTCAGGTACTGCTCAGGAGTTGGGGGCTTGATGCCATGGTTGTCACTGCACAGTGTGTACTTCATGGAGCGCCTGTAGGGGACGTTGGCCATCAAGGAGGGAGGGAGGGAGGAAGAGGCTGGGCAAGCACAGCACTACGCTTCCAGGGCACAAGGGACACCAGCTTAACCATACCAGTCCCATGGCCACTGGTGGCTCCCTGCCAGCTACCCTCACAGGGCCTGTGTGGGCATGAGAACACTCTGGAAAGCGGTTTTATTAAAGCTCTTCTGAGTGATGACCACAGTGGGGCACTCAAGGCTTCTCTAGTTAGGCATATTGCAGAGCATGTGCAAAAGGCTGGCCCCAGGAGGGACACTCTACTGACACCATCTCCATCAGTCCAGTCCAGTGGTGTATCTCAGAACTCTGGTGTCCACTCCCCAACCTAGGAAATGAGTTTGGGGGCTGGAGGGTACGTGGGCGCTCCCCCTCCTTGTAATTCTCCCGGGGCCTGCATGGTGGGTCTCTGAGGTGGTAAGGACTCACCTCTGTGCAGGAGGAACTCAGACACAGCTAGAGCTCTCAGAGCCTGGTCTATAGGACCAGGAGGGGGACCAGGGGGAGCAGACATGTGTATGCAGGCACGGCTGACACTCTGACACCCTCCTCGCCCATCCTAACATATACATGGGCTTGTAGGACCCACCCACATGCTTACTTCCTGGAATGCACATCTCAGTACAGCGATTCCCAGTCCATGTGCCTGCATGCCTGCGTATGTGTACCCAGCCTACACCTGTGCATCCCCACCATCTTGCTGCTGCCCTCACGGGCACCCACAGGTACTAGCACATTAGCCCATGCATGTGTTCATGCAAATGCATGCAGACCCTTTCCAGTCACATGTGTGAGCACCCTTGGTTCTGGGCATTGACCGGTTAACAGCCTCACCAGAGGTGGTACCAGGCTGGGCATGCAGTGCTCCCAGCGCCAGGAGGCAGAGATGTGTGTGTGTGGCAAGCACACCCTGGTGCTGCCATCACAAAGGTGGAGAAATTCCCAACCAGTAGAAGCAGTTTTCACCCAGGGAAGGACAGCACCCCAGTTCCACCAACAGACATCCATTCACAGCTTCCTGCCTGCTAGTTGTTCTATTCATAGGGAAACCTGCTTGGATCTTGGCTTAACCTGGGCATGTTCTTGTGCAACTTGGTGAGGCCATGCTGCCATCCAACTCTGCCCTTTAGGGGATGGGGACTTGCAGGTTTAGGAGAGGACAATGATATTTTAGGGCCTGGAAAAGACAGACCCTGGTGAGGCCCATTTGCTGAAGCAGCCAAGTTAGCAGCAGTTTTAAAAGCTTTGTGGAAGCTGTCTAATGTTTACTGAGGGAAAAGTATTTGTAAATTGTGCACTGTTGAAGAGCAGGTGTCAACAGAAGTGGAAAGAAGAAGAAACGATTCTCTTCTATCTACTCAACTCATGGTCCCTAGGTTTAACTCAATTCAAAGCATACCCTGGCCTGTTTTCTGCATGGCAAGGGGCAGAGGAGTGGCATGGGCTGGGAGCTGGTGGATTCCCCCACTGGTGGGCTCTGAGAAATCTCCCTCCAAAAGAGAAGCCAGCCAGCCAGGGCTATGGACCTCAGATGGCCCTGAGGCCCCCACATTAGTCCTGTAGACAACCTGGTGCTCCACAAGGCTAGATGGACACAGATATGTGGTGAGTAAAAAGTGGTCTTTCCCCCATGCCCAGGGGTGGAAGAACGAGGATTAAACTAGTAAGAATTGAGGAGGGGTGAGGAAGTATCTATTTCCACGTTTTTCATTTGCTTTCCTGAGTGTTTTTCCCAATATAACATTTAACACTCATATATTTTTAGTCACTAGCTCCATCTTTGCAGAAAAAACATATTTAACTGAGAAGAAAAATATACTATACTTCATGTCTCTCAGCTATTTGTGCCTTGGAATGCCTGGCTATTTGCCGGAAGGCCAGAGCTGAGGCCAAACACTCACGGTGGACAACAAGACCCTTCCAGGGAAGCAGCTGCCAGTCTCGGGGTCGGGACAACCCCTGTGGGTGCAGTTATGATACATGTTGCAAAAATCTGCTACTAATGAAAAAGTATGAAAGTTGCCAATTGAATACTTTTTAAAATGTAAGGAATATATTAATCTCATGGATGCCTCTGTATTCTAGGGTGGGGTTTCTGCCAGGATGCTGGGCCATGAGTCCTGCACACCTGTGTCACCTGTCATGCACATCATGGTAGAGAACTCTGAGAACTGATGCCTTAGCGTGATCTGGACGTTACTTCACACAAGTGACACCTCTGCAGGAAGGGACAAGGGTAGCCTTCCCGGGAGGTGCTCTGGCCATGGGAGCTGCTGGTCAAAGTCTCTGGGCACTCCCTTGCCCAGAACTTTTAAGTTGGACCAAAGTCCTAGCAATGGCAGTTACCAGTTACCGGCCACCTGCACATACCAGCTCACTGAAGTGTCCAGTTGTTAGCTCCATCCCATAGATAAGGGAACGGAGACTCAGAGGTGGGAAATGACAGAATCCCAAGCCTGTGCTTCCCTGACTGCACCTGTATTTCGATGCTGAGAGGCAGGACATGTGCCCATTACAGCTCTTACTTCCTGGTCTTTGAGGACCCACAGCTTCCCTTAACCTGCCTCCCTAACTGATCCTACTTTTCAAGTTTCTTTCTGCCTTCCCTGAGAGTACAGACTGGCATATACTGCATTTTAACACCCTTCACTTTCCAAGCCAGCTCCCCCTTTGCCACTGTCCAAGGATTCCCTTGGAGGAGCAAGGTAACAGACACTGCAAGTAGCCTTCTAATGCTCATTCTTGCCTTTCTCCCAACAGAACTCCATCTTTGTTTGGGGTGGTGCTGTACCGGGAGAAACACTAATTCCACTGTGCCACCTGGCCTTGTGGCCAGACTCAGTCACATCACCCATTTCCAGCCAGCACAGGGTGGACAGAATTTCCTGGGGAAGTTTCTCAGAAAACATGAACCTCTGGCTGGGGGAGGGGATTTTGGCCTTTCTGCCTCTTCCTTCCTGGACCGGAAGCAGCCTGAAGGCTGGAGGTGTAGGAGCCATCCTCTAATGATGAGGACAAAAGCTACATCTCATGGGTGCTAGAGCAGGAAGATGGGAATCAGGCCCCTGGTACTCTGGGGAGATGCCTGCCTCTGGGCCTGGCTCTGAAGCATCACCCCGAGCTTGTGTAAGCTGCTCTCTTTGCTTCTGCGCAGTAGGGTGTTTCCATAGCTGCTTACAGACAGGAATTGAGGCTCAGAGAGGAGTGAGCTGCTCTAGGTCACACAGCCAGTGAGTGTGCTGGTCAGGATAGTGGGAACACCCCCTCCCGCCAGCCCCAGGGCACCCAGGCTCTAGCCAGCTGGGCAGAACAGGCAGCAGAGGAGGCCCGTTACCTGGGGGTGGGGCTGCTGTCACTGCCCTTGCAGGAGCCCGAGTTGCTGCTGCTGCTGAGAGAAGAGGTGCCGTAGGCATCCCGCATGCTCACAGGGGGAGAGGTGCGCCTGGAGGCAGGGAGAAGGGGCAGGGGCTCGTTCTGGCTGGTGGGCAGCTGCGGACACTGGGCAAACACCGCCAGGCCGCTGCGGCCCAAAGGGCCCCCACTTTGGGGTCACCACCAGGGAAAGAAGCAGAGGGGAGAGGGGGACACAGAGACAGGGGTGACAGAACAGACAGTGCAAATCAAGATGGAAAACCAGGAGGCCAGTCCTCCCGGCTCCCCAGGACAAGAACAGAGGCTGGGCAGGGCTGGGGTCTAAGGCTGGGGTCTCATCTGCCCGTATCAAGGGTCCACAACTTCCAGGGTCCCCTATGTCCAGGGAGGAGGTCCCTGTGTGCCCGGACTGAGACAGAAGTGGGAAAGGATGGGGCAGGTGGAGGGCGCAGGGACGGGAAAGTCCCGGGAGGCCAGGTGGGCCTGCGTGGAGACCGCGCTCCAGTAACTGTGACGATCAACCAACAGTCTCACTGAGGGTGCAAACCCAGTGGTCAGTTCTTCAGGACACTTTCATACCTCGTGTCATTTGAGCCCTTGAATGGTCCCAGGAGGAGGCCAGGGTTAGCAAGCCCATTTTAAAGTTGGGCAAATGGGGGAAATGACTTGCTCAGACATCCTGCAAGTTGGTGGCTGAGTGAGGACAGAGGCCCTCCCCACTCCTGCCCCCAGGGGCCAAGGTTCTGGGCAAGGGAGACTCACCTGCGGGATCCAGCAGAGGCCCGTCTACTGCCCGGCAGGGACATGGCCATGAGGCTGCGGGTCCGGGTGAGGGGCGGGATGGTTGGTGTCCCCGGGGCTGAGGAGAGAGGGCGCGTTGGGGAGGCCGTGGGGAGGGCTGGGCCGGGCCACGTCATCCTCTCGTTGGGGCCGCCGCCTGGCATGGCTTCTCCTCTCACCCTTCGACAGGACACCCCTGGACTGAGCAAGGGCCTGGTGGGTAGGCTCTGGCTGCAGCTGCCTCCAGTGAATTTAGCAGGCTCTTGCCACCTGACTTAAAGTCACGACCGTCAGAGCCTCAGGGGTGGCCGGGTATCAGGGGCCCACCCCTGTGTTCTCCAGATGCGTGAGTGTGGAGAGAGCCAAGGCCTTGCCCAAGGCCACGCAAGCTTCAGGGTGGAGCCTCCTGACCCCAGAGCAGCACTGAGTCCTCTATGCTATGAGCCAGGTCTCCTGACTCCTGACCCCTAGGTCCCCACCCCCGTGCTGGCCAATCCTCCCTCCTCGGTGGGGATGCAGGCTGGAGGACTCCTGGAGCAGGACCAAGAACCCCGAATTAGGCTGGGCTAGTCTTGACATCACCTTCCCAGAGCGCCCGTTGGCACATGGCTTCTGTCTATAGGGGAGACAAGACAGACCAACATACCAGCACACGTGTAGAAAGACATATGGATACATATGAACACAAAAGGTACCATGTCCCTGCTATTCCAAGACATGCCACACAGGTCTCAGTGAACATGCTCAGGGGGCCTGCCCATGACACAGGACATGCAGCTGGGCCCTCCCACACACATGCTGCACGCAGGCACGCCCACACCCCTACATGCAATTGTGAGTGCTGATTTTGGTATGCACCAGGAGCTCACGGTACCCAAAGCAGAAAGGAAGGGGACAATGCGAGCAGAACCCCTCCCCTGGGGATGTCTCAGTGGGCTGGCCCTGGTAGGAAGGGACTGTGCCTGCAGAGATGTCTCCTTGGTCCTCTTGACAAGTGGGTAGGGGGACTCAGGCTCTCCGGTTTCTGCCAGGAAGTCCCTAGGCCCCTTTCCTGGGTAGGAGCTTGGGCTCCAAGGGCAGCTCTTCAGGAGTTTAAGGAAGGGAGAGACTCCAAGTGGGGCTGGGTGTTAGCTGTTGTGGGGACTGGCATCAGTCCAGAGCGCCCTGAGTCTGGGGTGGAGGGGCCAGGGCTCTTTGCAGCCAACATGCTAGTCACCTGCCCACACCAGGACCCCAGTTCTCTCCTCCCATGTTCAGAGCAGGGACTAAGGACAGTAGCCTGGGGTACATGATACTTGACCAAGCCCCATTCTGTGCCAGACCCTGCACGTTACATACATTCCACCATCGACTCCTCCCAACCACCCTGTGAGGAAGTGCTGGGATTAGTCTCCTTACAGATGAGGAAACTGAGCCTCCTAGAGGGAAGGGACTTGCCCAAGTCACACCCTCAATGTGTGGCAGGGCCACCCTCTGAACCAGGGACAACCCCAGATGCTGAGGGGCTGGGTTACACAGCCTGGAGTCCCTGTCTGAGGGTACCACCCTTCCTATACCAGGGTCCCGGGGGAGCCTGGTCGTCCTGACCAGTGTGGGGCTGCCTCCTGAGTGGACAAAGGCACTGCTCAGGTGGCCTGTTTCCTGGCTGTAACACAGAATGCGGCCTGTTCCCCCTGGAGGGCCTGGACACAGCCAGCATTGTCTCTGTCCGGAGGTGTCGGGTGCCAGGTGCAGGAGCTGCCAACACCATGCCTGTCACCTGAGCTGCTCACCCCAGCTTGGTGACATGTCTGGCCCATCACGCCCCACTCACCCAGGCAGGGCCTCCTGGAACTGTAGCGCTGGCCCTGGGGGAGGAACCACATGCAGGGCTGGGCGGACAGTGGCGCTCCCTCACACTTGCCAGGGAGGCCCCCAGTGGCTTACCACTTCCCAGGCATGGGAGGGCCTTGACCAGGAGCAGCTGTGGGGGTGACGGTACTCCCTATGGGTGGGCGGAACTTCCAGGATCCTGTCATTGAACCCTTCTGTGGCCAGGCAACTGAGCTGAATGCTTTTGTGTGCCTTGGCCCTTTACTTCAAATAGCAATCCTTCAAGATAGGATTTGTTACCACATTTAGGCCCAAGGTTGCACAGCTACAGGTCTGACCAGATCCTGGCTTCTAGCCCCAGTCAGTGGGGCTTCACTGGCCACCTCCCCACCCCACTACACCCAGCCTCACTCCCTCCTTTCTTGCTTTTGGGAGGATGCAAAGAGGAGGCTGTGACTTTGGGAGGACTTCTGAGCAAAGGCAGGACTCAGACCCCAGGACAGGGCAAGCCAGCTGGGTGAGTGTTGCTAAGGAGCTAGGAAAGTCCAGTTCGAGGTCGAGGCCTAGGTGGTGGGAGGCAGGCAAGATGCCCGGTTTGCCTTGGAGCTGCATGTGGCCTTGGCAGAATGAGGGCTTTGTCCCCACTGTCTCTTCTCCTACCTTGCTTGGCAACCCCACACCCCCCTCCTCTTGGGCTCCCCCTTCCTTCCTCTCTGGCCCCGGGGGTAGGAAGGAGACTGCATTTGTACTCAGATGGAGCCGACAGTCTCCTGGGAGACCAGAGCCAGCCATTCATCTGGTCCAGAGGTGGAAATGGCATTTCCCCTGCTGGGACAGGGCCTTGCAGACGGGGTCCCCTATGGGAGGGCAGAAGCCACCCAAAGGGAGCCACCTCTCTAGGATGTTACTCGGAGGCCTTGGTGTACACGCCCTCTCAGGTCCTCCTTCCCCTCCAGGCCCCAGAGAGGAGGCAGGTTGCCATGGCATCTGTCACCATGCCACCTGCTTGGCCTGGAGTCTCACAGCCGGTCCCCAGGTGGCCAGAGGCCACCACTTGGAATGGAAGGTGGAAAGGAAACCCTTCGCCATGGAGAGCTAGGCTGCGAGTCTTATCACCTCAACCCCAGAGTGAGCCCAGCACCCCCGCCTCCAGCCTTCCTCCATTTCCCCAGGCCACCCACACTGTGGACACCCTGCCATACCTGCCCCTTTGATCAGTCCCTCATATGCCCATTTCCTCAGGGCCTACAGTGGGGGGCCAGGAGATACAGCAGGATCCAGGCGATGGGGGACGGAAGGATGCAGAGAGTCAAACATGTGGGCTCAGCTCCCCGCTTTGCCACCCTCTGGTGCCCCAGGCAGGTCATACCACTCCTCATAGCTTCCTCATCTGTAAGTGGGGCTATAACAGAATGAACTCAGGGGGTGACTATGATGGGGTAACACACACACAACTCAGTCCAGTGCCCGTCATACAACACACACTCAAAAATAGGAATTGACAGTATTTTGGAAGTAGGTAATTGTAATGCAATGTGAGCTTCAAAACGAACATATTCAAGGTATAATGGTAGCCTCAGAAGGATCAGGGAAAACTCCAAAAAGAAATTTAAACTGGGTTTTGAAGGATGAATAGGAGTTTACCAGGCAGAGACAGCAAATGGGAAGGAAAAAGAAGCTTGGGCAAAAGCAGTGAATAATTCAACAGCATGGCTGCTCAGGAAACCAGGGGGCTGGGGAGGGCAGAGGACAGTGTGGGTGGGCTGCAGAATGAGGCAGGGCTGGGCTGCATAGAGCCACAGAGCCAGGATCTCAGCCTGCAGGGAAGGGCTTTAAAATGGGGAAGGACACAATCCAACATGCAGTTTAGAAAGCCCCTGGGTAGGAGGCCTTTGTGGCCTATAACCTTCAAGGGACAAGAAGAGAGGTAGGGAGACCAGTTAGGAGGTTATCAAAAACTCCAGGTATGAAATTAGAAGGGCATGTTCCAGGGTCACAGCAGGAGCAAGGGAGGAGGGGGACTGGAACCTCCACAAAATTTACAGAGGCCCCAGATAAGTGAAAACTGGGTAAACCTTGATGTTGTCATTCCAGGCCTGCTCATCTATACCCTTTCCAACCTGCCTCAGCAGCCTGCTGACCCCCAGGAGAGCCCTGTCAGTCATGCCCATGTCTCCGCGTGGGCTGTCTGCCCAGCCTGCGGCACCTCCCTGCCCCATCATCATGTGCTTTCTGCCCCTGCAGGTCTTTCCTCCTGGGACTTCTCCTGTCACTTACTGCCTTGACCATTTAGCATGCCGTGCCTTGGGTTGAAACGCAGGGACCACCACCCTCTGGGGGATTTAATAAAAACAAACACAACCAACATACAACTGTTAGTATCACAATGGTTTGAACAGGCACATTTGATAGTCTAAGGGATTGGATTAGATGGACTCTCAGACACTTCTGGGCACAATGTGCTCTGATTCTAGGGCTGTGAACAAGATGATGGGTTTCCAATTGATGCTTTCTTCCCCTTTAAAACCTTGGGCTCCCGAGTTTCAGTTTCCATCTCTGTAAAATGAAGAAGCTGCATGCTTCAAAGAGACATGATGGCATTTTATTCAATTAGCAAGTTGTGAGGGAGAAACCAGGTACTTGGGTCAATCTAGTATTCTGGCTAAGTGAACATCCTTGTATGCACTATAAATTACCTTTTTTGAAAACACTTGGCCATCAACAAAAGAAGAAAGATATCTTAAAACCCAAGGGAACAGAACAATCTGTGTCTGGTGACTCAAGCCTCTGACAGCTGTAGAAAGAGAGTCCTGCAACCAATAGGACAGAACTTGGGAGGAGCACTTTCTCTGCCAAGGCAACACTAGAATACAGAACATTCCACCAGGCAAACCACAGAGTGCCTGGTGCTCCTAGAAAGCCAAGGCAGACAGAATCAGGAGATGGGAGTCTGGTCCGGGAAGCTTCCAGCAGCCACACTCTGGATTTCCAAGGATTAGTGTTACCAGGGCTGTTCACGGTTGACGAGTCCAGTAAATGTTCCACTGGCTTCACTATCTCGTTAGCCACTGCCATCCTCTTCACTGTCAGTGAAACCTGGGACATTTCTTCTTGGACTTGGGAGGGGAAGAATTCTCTAGCTCCATTTCCGTGTCCTGCACAAGCTGCCCTCAGAGCTGGAACCACAGACAGGAGCCACAGGACTCCACACTGTGGCAACCCCAGGACAGTGACAGGGCAGACCCATGACCTGGCCAAAGGCTGCAAGGGCTTTCCGAGGCAATTGGGAAGGGATTGAAGGCTGAGGCAGTCACCACACAGGACGTCTTCAGTGACTAGAAAATACCAGAGCTTGGAGCGCATTGAACCCAGTGGTCTTCAGACCTCCT